TGGAGGGTGCCAGCCTTGCTGTGGTGATCTGGGGGGTCACCTTGGAGGAGCGGCCCGGGGTATGACTTGGAAATTCAGCCTGGGGGCTGGTTCTGTGTGGAGGTGTGCAGGGCTGTGCTTCTTTCGCAGGAAGGCCTGAAGCAGTGCCTGTCCGAATTCAGGCAGCATCTGGCTTGGGTGGAAAGGCTCGATGTGACTCTGGGCCAGGTCGTGGACCCTGTCTCTCAGAGTGCTTCTAATAAAGACGCTGTTGACCCTGAGAATGATTTCCAGAGAGAGATGAGCTTGTAAGTGTCAAAAAGGGAGGTTCCTTGCAGGGTCTTGGCATACTGCTGCGTGCTTGGGAGTTGTGTTTCGCAGGTGTGCTGCCGACTGCCACACTGGCTGTCACTGTGGCACTCTTGGGCCACATATATTAGATTTGATGGCTCTGAATGTTTTCCAAAATAACGACAAATTAACAACAGTATACTTAGCTTGTCACTGGAAATAATTTCTCCCCTCACAGCAGACTTCCATCTTTTACTGAAAAGTTTATTTAAAAAGTTCTTTGCTTGCAGAACTTTGGCTTTAATGCAGGACATGGCTTTTTCTTTGTGGATTTGCTTTGGTGTTATTACCGTTCTCTTGTTCTGCCTTGCCTTTTATAATGCACCATACAAAACTGTAACTGGAAACTAGCTAAATGTATATGTGCAAGATATAAGTGTTAATACTGTACTGGCACCTAAATTGCTTCTAGTATCACAGAATGCTGACATAATTTTAGATCAGTGCTTGTTAGATCCCAGTATCCACTAGCTTATGTGAGCACAGAGTGCTGTGAGAGGCCCAATGTCCAGTGACAGAGCTGGTGCTGTGCTGTCTCCCCAGTTACCGGCAGGCTCAGGCAGCGGTCCTGGAAGCCCTGCCAAGGCTGCGTAAGCTCCAAGTTCCTACTAGAAGGCCAGATGATTACTTTGCAGAGATGGCCAAATCAGACCAACAGATGCAGAAGGTATGTACAGTGAATAATGGTTTGCTTTTGTGTGTTATGTTCTGCTTTTAGCCTGTGTTAGGGATTGACTTGAAGGTGTGATGTGCAAATATTTCAGCTCTGACAAGTGCCTGTGACAATGTTTGTGTTTGAATGTTTGTGACAGGAATAGATGTTTCGGTGCAATGAGTGGACTTCCATAACAGGTTGGAACATAAAGTAGAAAAGTATATATCCTTTTATATTCTGTCCTGAATGTATTTAATAATAACAGTGGAGGCAACTTCTCCATACATGTAACAGTGGTAGCGAAGTTGGTCATCTTTATGCTCTTTGTCCCAAGACTGAAGTCGACTGTGGCATTAATGTGATCCTTTTTACCTATTTAAGAAGGTATCACCCTTTATTGATAGTCAGCATGTTTTGGTTCTTTGTGATTTTGAACTGTGTGTTCACAGCTGAATTAATTTATCATGGCTAGTAAGGCAGATTTGCGTAGAAAATAATTTCATGAACTTGCTTCTCAGTTGTGGTCTTTGTTCAAAATGGAATCTTAACTCTTGTTCTAGTTTTGGAAAAGATACTACACTGTATAAGTTAAACATACGTGAGCTAGAAGTTAATTTGGAGGTTCATGTATGACCTGGTCACTGTTTTGATGGCTGATAGATATTTCCTAGAAAAGAGGAATATTAATAATTAGCTTGTGCTGAGGCTTAAATCAATTCTGCACATTACTGTTACCTCCTTTTGGTGGCTTCTGGTGGAAGAACAGAGTTTTTATCTCCTAGTGGAGTCGCAGACTGAAGCCAGATGGTCTGGGTTGAAGTCATTGTAGTCCCTTGTAATGTGGCATCTTTATAGAAATGTTTGTGGACAGGGAGGGAACGAAAAAGATGTGGCATGGAAGGTTTGTTGACTTTTCTTCAGTGCTTTACTTTTAATAATGACAAGAAGGAAACTTTCAAATCTTCTGCATACACCTGAGTAGACTGACAAGATACACTTGTTCTGTGCTTCCATTAGAGCCCATTATAAGGCTTTCTCTTGTCTCTATGAGTTTTGTCTTTTTAATGAGATTTTGGCTACACATCAGTTCAGGAGGTTCTGTAATAACTGTTTGTTCTGGGTTCAGCTACAGCAGTCATTTTTTCTCCTTCTTAGTAGCTGGTGCAGTGCTGTGTTTCTGACTTTCAGCTTGCGAACAACACTGATAACACTGATGTTTTTAGTTGTTGCTAAATAATATTTACTCCAATCAAGGACTTTCTCAGTCTCATGCTCTGCCAGGGAGGGGGGGAAGCTGGGAGGAAGCAGAGGCAGAACACCTGACCCAAACTAGCCAAAGGGGTATTCCATACCACAGCACATCATGCCCAGTATAGAAACTGGGGAGAGTTACCCGGAAGGCCCAGATCGTTGCTTGGGTTGGGCTGGGTATTGGTCGGCGGGGGGTGAGCAATTGTATCCTGTCCCCTTGTTATTTCCCTTATCATTATTATTACTGGTGGTAGCAGTAGTGGTTTTGTATTATACCTTAGTTACTGGACTGTCTTATCTCAGCCCATGGGAGTTATATTCCTCCGATTCTCCTCCCCATCCCTCCGGGAGTGGGGGGAGGAAAAACGTGGGGGAGTGAGCGGGCAGCTGCATGGTTCCAAATTACAGGCTGGGCTTAAACCATGACACTGTTCCAGCCTTGAGCTGGAAGAATTTTATACCCTATAAAGCATTATCTGATTGAGAGATGTTTTCTTTTCTTACACTCATTGATAGTTCACAAATAATTATTGATTTCAAGACTGCACAGTGATCATAGAAGTCTCATATTTTCTTTTGCGTTACTGATAAATGTTGTTTTATCTGTTCCCCCAACAAGATTCGACAGAAGCTGAAAAGTAAACAGGAAGCAATGGAAAGGTCTGAGAAAGCGAAACAGCTCCGTGCAATGAGAAAATATGGCAAGAAGGTGAGGAGGAGCTACAAAAGGGATTTATCTATGTCAGTAATCTAGAGCCTGAGAGAGGAGATTAGAAAGTGAGACTGCAGGAGGCTGGCTAAAATATATGGGATCTGTCTAGTCTCTGGCTGCTTCAAAGGAAGTCAGAGCAGAAGATGGGATACCTTAAAAAAAAAAAAAGTGTGTGTGTGGGGTGGGGGTGGAAGTACAGGACACTACTAAGGACACCACTAACATTCTGCTTCTAATCCCAGGTGCAAATCGAGATTCTGCAGAGAAGACAAAAGGAGAAAAAGAATATGTTGAATGCAGTCAAGAAATACCAGAAAGGTAAAGTTAAGTTGTCTAAGAGACCAAATGCATAACGGGAATAGCAATGTATGAGCAAGTGTACAGCTGTGTGGTGTGTGGTGTCAATCTGTAGTGCTGGGCATTGAGCTTGAAAGGCTGCTGCTGTGCAGAAAGGTATGCCAGTGAAAATCCTCCCAAGAAGCTGTTCCTCAGTGAGGGTGGCTTGTTGCTATTACTTGCTTAGACTGAAAATTTGTATTTCCTGTGGTGGTAGCTGTCATGTCTTTGCTCTTTGCAGGTTTGTCTGACAAGCTGGATTTCCTAGATGAAGAGCAGACATCATCTCAGGGGAATAAAAAAGGAAATGCAAATCAACGGACAAAGAAGGGGTGAGACCAGCAAAGAAAGATACTTAAATGCAGAATCTCTGATTACTTTTTTTTTTCAGTCTTTTGGGGAATCATTTTGTGGAACAAGAAAGCTGTTCTGATTCATGTTTCTTGAAACAAGTCCAAGGTGGTTTTCTGGACCCTACAGAGGAGGAAAACTGTGGCCAGAATGGAACAGAGACTGAAATGTGCTATTTTTTGCCTTTTCAGTAAGAGGGGAAAGGCTTATGATGGCTGATGGGAGTCCATCAGCAGATATATGTGTCTTCTTGGGTATTCCTGAGGAAAGGACTATAGGCAGTGATGCTGTTCGGTTGTTTTTCAGACCAAATGCCAAAAGACGATACAAGAATCAGAAGTTTGGTTTTGGTGGGAAGAAGAAGGGCTCAAAGTGGAACACAAAGGAGAGTTTTAATGACGTATCCAGCTTCAGTTCAAAAGTGGCTCACAACAAGGGCCCAGGAAAAGCAGGAAAAGGAGGGAAAAAAGCCCTCAATGTAAGTAAAATGTTGCATGCAAATAATCCTAGTAGGCTTTGAAGCCAGCCCTGGTCTGGGAGGGAGAGCTGAGTATGTGAAGGATGTCTCCAGCATCTGGAAGTGATAATGCCTGTTTCTGGGAGCTGAGCTTGATTCAGTAGCAGACATAGTTGAGGATGGTGGTTTGGTATCTGAGCAGGGAAGTGAATGGGGGGAATTAGCAAATAATGTTTGTTGTTGCCTGTATCCCCAGACCTCCTCTCCAGAGGTATTGACAGGTATCCTCCCTAGGCTATAGAACTAGAATGAATTTTGAGGACGTGAAAAGGAATGTTGTCCTTTTTTTTCCAGAAGAGACCTGGAAAGAGGGCAAGGCAGAAAATGAAGAGCCGGGCACGCTAAGAGGACTCTGCTCTCCTGTGGGGTTTGTATGTTTCTGTGTGTTGCAAGACGCGTTTCTGCTGTCATCAAGCAGCTAACCATGGAGTAAGCTGGATGCTTCCAAGTGGCAAGAAGAAAAATCAGTGGAAACTAGTGCCTTATCACTAATTTCTTCTTACTATCTGTTTTGTGGAAGGATTGTTTTCTACTTAAACCTATGGGGTGTGAACGCATTAAATGGTTTGCACAGAACTAAGTCTAACTCGTGTTTAGCTGTGTTACGAATGGTTGCTGAACCCTGCTGTTTGTTCCCTTTATTCTTACAGCTTTTTGCACAGCTACTGCTGACATGTACTTGGTGAACGTGTATCTTGGGTCATGTTGATGGTCAGAATAAGAAGTCTGAAGCCTGTCAAGATATTGAAGTATTTTTTAGACTATATAGATGGGTTTGGAAACAGCAGCGAGACAAATGCAGCAATCTTACAAACAGGTTTATTCTGTAACTATTGTCAGGCTGCAAGTCTGGACAGACTGAAGTTCTCTCTTCCCACTTCTCACTATTATCTCTTGCCAGAAATGTACCAGACTCACCTAATAACAAGCAGGGCCTAAGATGTTAGAAGTCATTAACTGCTTCTAAGTTGTGTGGCATTGCCAGTCTACTACTGCAGGTTCTCAGACTGCTCCACCCCATGGCACGTGGCAGCCATTTATTTAGTGACCTCAGTTTTCCGGCGTGGGAAGTAGAATCTGCAATCGGTACGGTCCATAGGGACCTGGGAAAGAGAAATGATGAATAGTCACGTGCTTTTACTAGAATTAGCGGTAGTAGTAGTCCCTCCTGAGAAGAGTGATACACGGTGTTCTTGCCGAAAAATGCCCACGTGACGAACAGGTAGGATACTGCTTATTTGAGAATATACTGTTCACTGCTTCGTTATGGTAGAGCCTGGTGATAAAGGAAGACTTAGTGTATGAAACAGCATCATGAGTCCTGACTCTCTCAACTTACTTCTCTACATAAGAATTTAGTTGCCAACATGAATTTCCTGCCAGTCTAATCCTACCAGCAGTATCTAGAAGCGTAAAGCCCTGCTGGGAAGTCTGTCTCTAGCCTTGTCATGAGTAACTAGTTTACCTGAAGTACAACATGAAAAGTTGCAGAAGACTGTCTTATTTTCTCATTTATCTGGGTTTTCCTCTTAACAAGCCAAAATTAATCAGGCCTTCATTTGCCTTTCTCAAAACGCAAATCTACAAAGTCAGTCATTGTCACAGCTATTCATTTGTCAGATATAGTTGATGTCTCAGCTTGTTTATAAGATTTCTTTTCCTCCTGTTTATTCATACTTCCCCAAATGAATCCTTACTGGTGTATACTGCCTCAGGTATACTTAGCTGATTATGAATTTTATGGTTCTGCTTGCAATTTGTTTGTACAGCAGCACATTTCTTTTCACAGTGCTTATGTATGTCACTTCACATTGTTCACTATGCCATTTCTTGTGGCTGAAGGCTTTAATAAACACTCATGACTATGTATCTGGCATTTGGCAATATGCTTGGGGTCAGCTATCACTAGATACTTTGCATGCAAGTTTCTCAGGGCGTTGCCTATTGTTTCTGTGTTCACAAGCCTATGCCAGTGTGAAGAGTCATCTTAGGTAAAAATTTTAAAAGCTTGTTGTGCATGAATAGCTGTGCTTATCATAGTCATTCCTGTTTCCCACATTCGTCACAGATTACTTTCTTACATGAATATTCTTCCGCTGTGATGGGCTGAATGTCTGAATCCTGGAAAGAGCTGAGTCCTTAAGCACCCTACTCACCAAAGGTTTTGTGTTCCAGCCAATTTCTTGACTTTCAGTTTGTGGCTCTGAATATTTCTTTGTTGGTTCCAGTGCTGCATGGTGAATAAGATTCAGAAACTTTTCTGTTGGTTTAAAGAGACACAAATAGAAGTGAAGGAAAGTATGTTTAAAAAACAGTTACCTGTTGGTGTGTGTTAGGGCATCTTAATTCTGTCCAAGCGATAATAAGAAAGCTGAGGTTGGAGGCAACCTCTGTGCTTCTGTGAATGGTGTTGTGATGGTGACATTTCTGCTCAAGTTTATCTTGATGAAGTTTCTAGATTTGCCTGCCTATACTGTTCTGCGAATTCTGTCATCTCTAACTGTATTGCAGCATGTTACTTTTCTTACACCACATCTAATATCAACCAGTGCTTCATGTTAGCTCTCATTTTTCTTGGTTGCCTGAGACCTGCTGCTCTTCCCTGTTTTGGTTTTCTCTCTTCCCCCTTCCTCCCCCCAGTCCTTGATAAGAACAGGCCAACCTTAACTGCTGACCATTAAGGTTTTTAAACAAAAATGGCATGTTGGAAAGAAGGAAACACTTGGTAAAGAGTTCCTGTTACTAGTGCTTTAAAGTGACACTCAGCAGCCACTTAAGCAGTTGATGGTTAGGTAGAATCTGCAACAACAGGCAACATATATGTAGAAAACATGTTTCTAGATGTTTTTTTTCCCTGAAAGAGATTTAGATTCTTAAGCAGAATTTTATAGTATGATAACTGAAACAAAAACATAATTACATGAATGCAAGTTTGTACTCAAAAAGTAATGGGAAAGGGCCTCAAACTGGAAAAAAACGGCCTTACATTTAATAAAAGCATAAATGAGTTTCACTTTCTTACATTGACACAGTGGTGTTTCCACATATGTCATCTTTTGAAATAATTGGAATTTTAAACTCCTATTAGTAATTTTCTTACGTAATTATTACAAGCTGTTAAGAGATTTCTTACCATCTGCTGGCTCTTCTATATTATCATGCCATGACATAGGCTTCCTGGCGATAGTGTGAACTGGAGAGAAATGGTGCAGGTGAATTACTTTAATATGAATATGGCATCACAGCCAGGTATAGGTTGTCTGTCACTGCACATGTATTTTTTGGTCATTCCCCAGTCTGGGCCCAGCTACTTCACTGAAGTTGTAAAGGAAGAACAGCATGTGAACAGAACAAAGCGAGCCCCAGATTTAACGTCTAGAAAGGGAAGGGGGTTAAGGATGCTAAAGGCCCTACTGTTGTGTGCTGCGTGCATTCACTACAGCAACGTGCCACCCTGCCCGAGAAGTGGCCTGCAGAGTGACCAGTTTCGGGGTGTTACTTCCCTTTGGTTTGGTTTTGGTTTATTGTAAAAGCTAGACCTGAGTGACTCTATTCACATCACTTGTCTGTGCCAGCATTGGCAGAAATCGGCCCAGGAACTGAAGAAACAGGGTATAGTGCTGGGCCTACCTATGCTATCTTAGCTCTGTAGTGTTTGCTCAGGATCTGTGGGTTCTGGATCCCAAATAGTTGCCTCACTTCTACATGTTTAATAATACACTGCCTAATCTGGGCAAATTTGTCATGCTGCCGATCTGCCTTTGAGGGTGCAAAAGAAAAGACTATGGGTTTGCTCCTTCTACCTTTACCCCTCTCACTGGCCTATTCCGGCTTTCTGGGGTGCAGCTGCTCGTCTCTGACATGCAGCCTAGTGCTCC